TATATATATATATATATATATATATATATATATATATATATATATATATATATATATATATATATATATATATATATATATATATATATATATATATATATATATATATATATATATATATATATATATATATAGTATATACATATATATACATATATATACATATATATATATATATATATATATATATATATGTATGTATGTATATATATATAGAATTGTTTGCAAATTGATGATTTGAGTACATATGTAGCACACTTCAGTTCTCACCTTAGGTGCGATGGTGTCTTTCATCGAATTGTGTGCTGGATGTGTCGGAGGTAAATTGGAGGCCTCGGGGAAGGCGTCTTCTTCTGACTCATCGCCCACATAGCCAGCATCGGAGACATAGCCTGCGCACGACAGCATAGCCGATACAAATCTTTATGATACAATTGTTTACAGTACGCCAAAAGACCAGCACGGCTGGGAAAAAAAGGGGTACGCTAATAGTGGCAGAATACTCACCATCTGATAGGAGCGATCCTCTACTGCAGGTCTCGACTTTCCCCTTCAGCCCGTTCCCTGCGGATGCAAATCACGGCTTAATTATTGCCAATGCTTTTTTTAATATCTGTTAAATGTTTTATTTAGAAAGCTGTCTTGAAGTTAAACTGAACTGCGAACAGGTTTTAGTAAATTATGAGCTTACCTTGCAAGTATTCTCGGGGCAGATCCGTGATCGTCTGAATTTGAGACCTCATTTTTCTGTAGAAGTCTAGTGTCTTTTTATATAGCTATATATGAGTCTGGGAGACTGTATTCGTATTCTAATGTCTTGACTTGTCACTGCACCAGTGAGTATATATTTAGAGATATTTATTTAGTGCGTTGTGTTCGTAGCGCGCTCGCAGTTGATATGTAGTTTTACACTGTGATGCAGTTAATTAAGACTCAAGCAATTTGCTGCACGGCTGACGGCTGCTGTCTGCACTCAAGCAATCGACTCTCTGTGTGTGTGTGGCCTGTGCAGGCTGTGCAGGCTGTGCTCTCTCTCTCTCTCTCTCTGTGAGAGCGAAAATGCGTTGAGCGACGAGCAAGAGCAATGACGTGAAAAACTCAAATTGGTTGTCAGGTTACAATTCGAAAACCCTGTTGAAATATTTACTCCATTCGGAATAAAACACAAGAATTATGATGCAAACGTTGCACGTAAAAATGTATTGTGTTATTTGTATCCGAGATTCCGCCTACATATCCGTATCCGGAAAAGTAAACCGTTATACTTTTATTCCTCTACGTGTACATCTTTATTCATTCCGCTGTTCAATTTGAACTTAGAGGGGGGGCCTGGGGCATGGGGGCTGGGGCCACGGGGCCACGGGGCCACGGGGCCATAGCAATTTGCCAATTAGGCATAGAGGTCCATACAATATACATACTACGTGATTGTACGCCAGTTTCTGTTTCAAACTCTCAGTTTCAGACCGAAGAGGCCAGACGGCAGACCGACAAGCGCCAGGAGGGGCAGAGCCGCCCTCAGAGGGTGAAGACTCAGAAGTCAGAATGAGCAGACAGACTAGCACTAAAACAACCCAGAGTAAAAAAAAGTTATACAAAAGCTTTTTTGGGGGTTTTTGTTTTAAAACAAAAACAAAACCCCCCTCGGCTATGTTGAAGGCGTTTGATTTACATGGCCAATTGGCCAGCCATATTTTAAAATTCTCACTTCTCTCGTCTCTCTCAGAGAGTCATGATGATTATAATATTATTTGAAGACACATGTTGGTTTGAAGAAGGTTTGAACTTCGAACATAACATTCACGACTTCACAAGATCCGAAACCAGTCAAACATCGCACGGCGCACATCCTCCAAAAGTTTACTACATACATATATACAAACACATGCAAATCCCTCTGGCCCTTTGAAATTCTGTTTTGCACATATCTATACCTTCAGAGAGTTGTATGTGAAAAAAATGCATACACATACGCCAACAAGCCGTGTACATATACGAATCTGGTATATTATACCATACCGCGTTTCGAGACTATCCATTGTAAGCTGTAAAGTCTTTCCCGAAATATGGACTTATCAAATCTTATTATTTGAAATCCATCTAAACACATGAGTATATTTCGATATGTGGTTGTAATTGAGGATATCACTCTAGTGCAACCAGAGGAAATCAATATGACTCATATAATCGCTAATCAGTTGCAACACATATAACTCTCATCCAAATTTTAGTCGCTAATCAGGCTTTGAGTCTCGAATCGGCAAACAAAATAAGATTATAATACTGTTATATTATTTATCTTCTGGTTATTATGGGTGTGTGTGTGTGTGTGTGTGTGTGCGTGCGTGTGTGTG